AATTCCCCCCTTTGCAACTTTTTCCAAATTTCCCCCAAGGGAACGTGTCATCGCAAAGAGCAGCTGTGACAACCCCCCACATAATATACTGAAGACATTGAAACTATTTAAAAAGCAAGGTTTGAACATTTGATAAGCCTGCAGACTAACACAATTTAACTTGGGAAGTACAATACTGAAAAAAATATCAAGAGCACAAATTTAGTGGGAGACGCCGATTGTTGAAAAAAAAAAAAAAAAAAAAATAAAGTATACAAAAACCATTGTTTACTTCAGATACCGTATTTTTTTTTTTTTTTTTAAAAATTTGGCCTTTCCCCCAATAAATTTCAAAGGAATAAATAAATAGCAAGGAAAAACCTTAGGCAAACTATGTCATCAAAACACATCCCAGAAAGTTAATGTGAATTCGAGAAAATTTTAAAAAAATTTAACACAGAATACTGTACTGAAATTTTAAATGTTTTAAAAATAATGTCCTTTGAAATTTGAAGGGACTTCACACCTAAAATTTAAAAATACAAGTAAAAAAAGGCGAAGCAGTGTGGCCCTCAAAGTACAGTGGACCCCCGCTTAACGATTACCTCCGAATGGCCCAAATTAGTAAGTGTATTTATGTAAGTGCGTTTGTACGTGTTTTTTGGGGGGTCTAAAATGGACAACTACTTCACAATTTTTTCTTATGGGAACAAATTCGGCCCAGTACTGGCACTGATATACTTCTGGAGTAAAAAAAATATCGTTTAAACCGGGGGTCCCTGTAAAAAGTTGCCCCCCCAGCTAGTAAAGACAGGAGGGCAATAAAAGTCGGGTTCGGATCAGAATGACGGGGATCCTCATAGCAGAAAAATTTAAAACAGTGTAAAAAAACCCAATCAAAAATCTAATAAAAGGGAAAATTTGGGAGAGAAGCTTCCAATGTGACTGTCCCTACCAGCACAAAAAAATGGCGTTATTCAAATGTGACCAAGTCCCAATGCAAAATACCAGTGGCCCTGTTTATCAAATACAATTATACAACTGTATGAAGGGTGCAACCAAAAAAACTGGGCACATGGACATATTCTAATCTAGCTGTCTATTACACCATCACCCATATCTGCTCCAGCAAAAAAACTCTCCATCTTGCCTGTCTTAGTTAAAAAAAAAAAAACAGCAGACTTAAGAGTAAAAAACTTCAGGCAAGTGCTTGCCCTTGTAGACCTGAGCAAATAGGTGCCCAATGCTCTGCCACTACCTCACTATTGTTGACCTTGACACCAGCAACACAGCAGCTGGGTCAGGCATTTTACATTGTATTTGTCAGCATAGGTTTCTGCCCTTCCTTCCAAACAGTTTAACTGTTGAAGAAGCATGCAGTGTCAAGATATATATATGCTAGCATGCTTCCTTTGCTGACTAAATGACTTTACATGCACAGACCATCGTTCTACAATATGAAAATCATGAGTGGTATGACTATAAAAAGTAATTAAGGAGGAGGAGTCACAAAAGGCTCCAGAATATTTATATAGGAGTAGCAATCTGAATGTAAGAGGGAGGGGGAGCTAGGGGGATATGGCCTGAAGCAGCATTATTTTTTTTATTTTTACTTAATTAAGGGCTTTGGGGGGAAGTGAATGGAATTTTGTGGGGCTTCAGTCCTCCTCTTTTCCCTCAGTGCCAGCCCTGCTGGGGCTTATCAGAAGCTAGGACTTGGTAAGTCCTAATTCTGTGGCGAAGATGTAAAGCACATGGTAGACCATGTCAGGTCTGCATTCAATAAACAAATGAATTTTTGCATGGATTTAATTTATATTAATGCCCATTTTCATATCACAAGTATTTTAATAATTTTTATATATAAATGCAACATTATCTCAATTACATCATTTGCAACATTGAATACTGCCATCCACTAATAGTAGCTATCATCAACATCTTTTAGTTTTATATAAAGGCAGCAGGAGAGGATCATCCCAAAGACCTGAATGAGGCAAATGCCACAGCCAACAGCTCCAAGTATAAGCAGATGCCGGCTCAACTCGTCTTCAAATTGATGAATACAACCCTGCAAAAAAGGAAGGCAAATAAATAAATGACAATACTGTAATGTTAAGATTGGGCACAGCACATTTTTGGATACACTACCAGACCTGTCCAAGTACTGTACCATCAAAATGTATACATTATACTACCAGAGTTGAAAATCATACAATTAAACCCTTGATATACAAAATCCACTGGTTCAACTGATTCGGAAACAACTAAGTGCCTTGATTACTGGTCAAAGAGACATTCGGGTGAGTGTTGGTAATCCTTCATTCAAGTACAACATAATGAATGCTCCTAGCTGCAAAGAGACAAAACACAAATTAGGATGCACAACCTGATGTTGTGAGTACACATTGTACCTCCTAGCCCTGATATATCATTAACTGGCACAGTATGGACGGAAATCTAAAGTGGGTGTGCATTGCCCTCCCTGCATAATCTGACTATTAACTTACGTATTAGGGAGGTAATACGTGTTTTCGTCGGCCTCACGCTCTCTTTGTTTACACTCACGTTTCTCTGCCTCACCTACAGGCGGCGCACCAGTGCCACCAACCCGCCGAATTTGACTCACTCTATGACACCCCATCTCCATCCCACAATTACAGAACTGTTACCATCATAGCAAAACACTCTACTTCATCCACCATAACTGCCATTACCACCCACCTGCTCCTTCCCTATTAGTGTGTCATATGGAAGGTTGAATAAGAGTACTGAACTGTATCATAAACTTTAAAACTCACAATTTAATATAAGTCTTAACAACTTTCAACCAACCCACAAATTGTCTTGGTATGGACTGAAATGCCATCTAGTTTCTAATTCCAATTTGTAGGTTAGTTATGAATATTCTATCCTTTCTTCTTCTTTCAACACACCGGCCGTATCCCACCGAGGCGGGGTGGCCCAAAAGGAAAAACGAAAGTTTTTCCTTTTACATTTAGTAATATATACAGGAGAAGGGGTTACTAGCCCCTTGCTCCCGGCATTTTAGTCGCCTCTTACAACGCACATGGCTTACGGAGGAAGAATTCTGTTCCACTTCCCCATGGAGGTAAGAGGAAATAAACAAGAACAAGAACTAGAAAGAAAATAGAAGAAAACCCAAAGGGCTGTGTATACATTTGCTTGTACATTGTATTGTAAGTGTGATCTAAGTGTAAGTAGAAGTAGCAAGACGTACCTGAAATCTTGCATGTGCATGGGACAGAAATAAAAAGACACCGGCAATCCTACCATCGTGTAGAACAATTACAGGCTTCAGTTTTACACTCACTTGGCAGGACAGTAGTACCTCCCTGGGCGGTTACTGTCTACCAACCTACTACCTAGGAATATTCTATCCATGTTGTCTTTATTATAAGTCCCCTCCAGCACTCACCCTACAAAATCAGACAATTACATTTTCGTATTGTGATTCTTTCATGATTTAACATGTAACTTGCATTTATTTTTAAGTACCTACTAATACAAGAGGGTTCTCCTTATACAGCAGGTTAGATTTCAGGCTACTGCTGTAAAGCAAAAACTGCTGTAAAGTGAAACAGCCTTTTTCACTTTCAAATGTACAGTGGTACCTCGAGTTACGAACTTAATTCGTTCCAGAAGGCTGTTCAAGTACTGATACTGAACGAATTTGTTCCCATAAGGAATAATGTAAATTAGATTAGTCCGTTTCAGACCCCAAAAATACACTTATAAAAGCCATTACAAAAATACACTTACATAACTGTTCAAGTTGGGAGCTGTTCGAAACTCGAAGTACCATTGTATGTATATGAAAGCCTGATAACATGTTTACCCATCATATACAGTGGTCCCTCAATTATCGTCCATAATCCGTTCCTGGAAGCAGGGCCGGATTAAGAAGTCTCCGGGCCCTAGGCTATTCAGATTGGCTGGGCCCCTTTGAGTTACGGGTAAGCGAAGCGGCCCCTTCCAGCTTGGGGGTGGGGGGGGGTCGGGGATCGGTGTGAGCCTGTTTAAGGTCTAATTAAATACATTCTGGCTATTTAGATTAAATTTAATAGGGAAAGTACATCAAGACAACCAAAACCATTTACCAACAGCCACTATAACTATCTTGTTAAATCATGCATTTTAAAGAGAATAAACTCAAGACAGCATAGTATTACTAGATTAGGCTATTAAAGTAGTGACATCATGTACCTATTATATTCAGCATAACCACTACAGCACTATTTTTCCCTTTATAAATCACTGACCATTATTGTTATCATTGCATCATGCATAAGACTATCAAATCATAAAAAACTCAAGAAAGTAAAGAATTGTTTATATTCACATGCACTTCTTAAATAAACTTTTTTCTGGATTTCATATTGGCAAAATCATCAAATTATATTCTTGAAAATCAATATTTCTTGTTAGATCACACTCAAGGGTTTCAACAAGGTTAGGTTACACAATTTGTCTTGGCTCTTTGTTGAACGGAGCTGGTTTTTCACTCTTTTCAAAACAGAAAATGAACATTCTCCTTCACAGTTAGTAGCTGGAAAGTGTTAGGTAAAGGCGATACACTATGTCAACATTGGGGAAGGTTTCTGAGATACCTGCATTTCTTAAATGTTTAAAGCAGCTGAGGGTGCACATTTTTCAGGTGGAGCTTTAATCTGTTTTCATATACCCAGAAAAATGAACTATTTCCTCAAAAAAAATGTGTCCTGAACATCTGCTGAAAGGTGTTGGTTGCAACTTTAATGCAGCTTCTCTCAATTCGGGCATCTGGCTATTTAGTAATTTTGAACAGAAACCCAAACTTGTCTTTGAGATTCTGGTAGATTTCTTTCCTTTTCACCCAATTCTGTAATCAGTAAATTTCCAGAATGATGAAGTATGTAGCTGTCTTACTTTCCCTGCCTTGGTAGCAAACAAAATTTCATTGTCTGGCTTTCAAAAATTTTTTCCCTCTTCCTTGACCGCTGATAATCAGCCCGGTAACTGTACCCTTTTTCACCAGCAGTTTAGCTTTCTCTTCAAAACATTTCAAAAGCTTCATCATTGCGAAGTGGGGCTTACAATTCCCACTAACCCTTGCAAGAGGTTAGCACAAGTAGCCATTTCAATTTCAATTTTCTGAAGTGTCTTGTTCGTGGAAATTTTAAAACCATTCCAGTATACAGTCCCAAAGCACCAAGTAAGGCCAATTCAAAATTTCCAATTTTGATGCTAAGCTTGGCTGCTTCGCTTCTTGTAGTTGCTGTCTGGTCTTCATCCTCTGATATTTGAATCAAAGCAGAACGTATTTCAGCAAAGCTGTCTTTCAAAGCATGTGTTGCATCATGCTGCGCTGACCACCTTGTTGTTGATAATGATTTGATGACATCTCCATGAATGGTTGGCTTGAGTATACTCCACCGATGCATTGAAGCAGAGAAAAAATTAGCGAGTGCTTGTAAAAGTCCAAAAAATGAAACTGCAGCGACACATCACTCCACAGCACATACCCAACAAGATTAAGAGAATGTGCTGAGCGGGCACATATTCAGCAAGTGGGTTGATTTGCTTGATACGGGCTTGCAATCCATTATATTTACCCGACATGTTACTTGCATTGTCGTAGCTCTGGCCACGGCAATCCATAATAGAGAGATCATGTTCAAGCAGAGTATCCAGTACTACATTCATCACTGTTTCTCCATCATGGCCTGAAAGAGGAATGAATTTTATAAAGCGCTCTACAGGCTTACCACCGGAGTCGACAAAGCGAACAATGAATGTTAATTGATCTGTATGTGAAATATCTGGTGTTGAATCTACACTTATTGCAAAGTATTTTGCAGTTTTCACAGCTGCTATGATGTTATTGAGGACCTTCTTAGTCATCAGTTCAATAAATTCATTGCAATAGTAGATGACATGTAAGATACAGTGCCTCTTCCTGCATTCCCCAAAGGCCGTGACACATGATTTGCTAAAAAATGGATCGAATTGTGCTAACAGTTGTATGATCCCTAGGAAATTGCCATTGTTTTCTGAACCAAAAACCTCATTTTCTCCACGGAAAGCAAGTCTTCTTAGAGCTAAGAATTTTACAACAGCAACAACTCTTTCTAGAGCTTTTCTCCAATAAGTGCGGGTCTTTTTCGTTTGATTTTCCAAATGAGAATCCAATAAGCCTTTTTTCTGTGCACGAAATACACTGGCTAAAATCAGCTCCTGTGAGTGGGGCTGTTTTCATGTTCCTCGAAACGCTTGGAATTTTTCCAGTCATTGAACCCTGTGTGAAGGTATTTTCTTTGGTAGAAAATGCTTGCATGCTTGAACAGTACGCTTTTCCTGAGCTTTCAGAGTATACCATCCATGATCTTTTCACAGTTTCTGAATTTGCAAGCTTCCTATAAAACATAGATGGCTTTAAACAACGACGACTTCCATCATCATAAATCCTTGCTGATTTCCTAAAGTCAATGTTCAGAGTTTGACTGAAGTTTTCTGCAATGAAAGCATTACGTAGAGAATCTGGGATTACATTTGGCCATGAGGCAGGATCTTTTAAGACAAATCCTGTGGATGAAATGTCCGTTGAGACATTGAGAGGAGACACAAAAGAAGTAGATGCTGGCTGAGAAATAATGGAGGGAGGGCTTCCTGTACAATCTGACGTATCTGCAGATTCAACTGTACTGCTAACATCAGAAACTGTTTTCGTGAGCATGTCTGTGATATTTCTGCAGCTTCCTACATCTTCCTTTTTCTGTTCTTCTTCTTGAATTTTCTTGTTTCTTTTCTGTGACCCACTCACATAAGAACGTCCAACATCACATTCACGAGATGCCATAATGAGGATGTATCACTGTCTGTAATCATGCAAATACAAATTTTTCATTATCAATTATTATTAATTTTTTAATTATTAAATTTTTTTTTTCTGTCAAATTTTGGGGGAAAATGGCCCTTGTAGCCCCCCTTTCCCCTTGGCTGCGCATCTAAAAATTCAAAACGTTACAGAAAGGAGTCATATACAGAACTTTTACCATAGATTAGGTTAGT